CCCTCGTGGAGGGCCCACCAGTGCAGGAGGGCTCTCACCAGTATGGGGGGGTCACTGCTGTGGGACACACCCGTGTGGCTGGCAGGGACAGCGTGTCCAGGACACCTCAGCCAGGCCCAGTGAGTGGCTCGGGGTGCCCCCCACATGTCAGGGAGCCCCGGTGCCCCCCAGCTGCTGTCACAGCCCTGCCTGTGCTATTTTTAACCACCTGAGTGGCTAAGCACAGCACAGGTCCCCCCGGGCCCCCCTCCCCCGGCTCTGTGCAGGTTAATCTTTAGCTGCTGCTCACTGTAATGAGGCTCATTACCCTCATTACCGCGGGACAGCCACAGGCCCTGGGCAGTGACACGGGGACAGGGCCAGCAGAGCCAGGCTCTGTGTGGCTGAGGGAGCTGGGGGTGACGTGGCCTCGGTGCCTTTGGCACCTGGCTGTAGGTCACAGGGGAGTCCCAGCTGCATTGTGGGGTGACCTGTGGGCAGCCCCAGCACGGTGACAGCCCCAGTGCAGTGCAGTGCTTGGGGCAGCAGCGTCCCCAGGAGACCTGCCACGGTCCCCAGCAGTGTGAGGGGATCCCTGGGGACGTGACAGGATCCCCCAGGGGGTGGCAGGGTCCCAGAGGTGTGACAGTGTCCCCGAGGGCTGTGCCAGGGTCCCCAAGGGAGGGCCCAGGGGCTGTGCTGGGTCCTAGGGGGTGTGTCACTGTCCCCTGCAGCGTGCCTGTGTCCCTGTGCCAGCATCTCCAGGGATTGTCCCAGATTCCCAAGCACTGTGCCAGGCCCTGGGGGGGAGGGTGTGTTGGTGTCCCTGAGGGGGTGCCAATGTCCCCAGGGGCTGTGCCAGCATCACCAGGAAGAGTGCCAGTTTCCCAAGGGCCGTGCCAGGTCCCCAGCAGGGTGCTGGTGTCCCTGGGGTGAGCTGTGTTGTTGTGGTGTCCCCAGTGCTCACACCAGGGTGCCCAGCAGTGTGCCAGTGTCCCTGTGGCTGTGCCAGGACCTGGGCCAGGCTGGCTCGGGGCCAGAGGACAGCACAGGGGGCTCCTGGCACAGCGAGGGGACCGAGCCCCCATCGGGGGGCCCAAGGTGCTGTCAGGGGGCCCGAGGCACTATCGGGGACCGGCAGCCTGGGGGACCTGGGTGTGCTCCCGGGAGATTGTGGGGGAGTCACTGGGGTGGGGAGGTGTGACCCAGCCACGCTGCCGGGGGTCAGGCTGCAGGGCAGCGGTGAAGGTGACAGTGACAGCAGCAGGGCCTGGCCTCGTGCAGGTGGGTGAGGGGTGCAGGACGGGAGTCAGTAGGCACGGTGCAGGTGTGCACGCCTGCAAACCTGTGTGTGTGTTTGTGAACAGCTGTGTGTGCCCATAAATCTGTGTGTGCACGCCTGCAAACCTGTGTGTGTGCCTGTGAACAGCTCTGTGTGTGCTTACAAATGTGTGTGTGTGCCCATAAATCTGTGTGTGCCCCTGCAAACTGTGTGTGTGCCTGTGAACAGCTCTGTGTGTGCTTACAAATGTGTGTGTGTGCCCATAAATCTGTGTGTGCCCCTGCAAACTGTGTGTGTGTCTGTGAACAGCTGTGTGTGTGCCCATATATCGTGTCTGTCAATGGCCATGTGCCACATGTCACCAGCTGTCCCCACATGTGCAAGCCCTGGCTGCTGCAGGGCCCTGCCCTGCACCCTGGCACATGGGGGGACACCAGTGCCAGCCGCTGTGGCCAGGGACAAGGGTCAGAGCTGGGGTGACAGTGCCGTTTGCCCACGTGCCCCTGTGCACCCCGGTGTCCCCGTGCCCCGGTGGGTGCCAGCACGGTGTGACGCCTGCCCTTTGTGACCCACAGGCTTGGTGAAGACGCCCCAGGCTGGTGCCAGGCCCGTGGGTGCCTGTGCAGGTGCCATGGCAGGGGGAGCAGGGCTGGCCAAGCGCCTGGGGACGCTCCTGTCGGGGCTGCTGGAGTGCGGCGCCTTCTGCGGCATCATCTTCGGCTGGGCCTCCCTCGTCTTCGTCCTCAAGGACCTGGGCTACTTCGAGGGGCTGTGCCAGCCCTCCGCCACCCCCGGCCCCAACCTCACCCTGGGGTCTGGTATGGACCCCCCCCCATGTCCCCATGGTCCCCTGACTCGTGACCCCGCTGTCCCAGTGCCCTGAGCTGTCCCACGTCCCCACTGTGCCTGTGTCTTTGCTGTCTGTGGTGTCCTGATGCCCTGCAGTGCTCTGTGTCCCCGCTGTCCCCAAGCCCATGTGCCTGCTGTCCCCCAGTCCATGTCTCCAGTACCATCACATCCGTGGTGTCCCCACATGCCCGGTGTCCCCTGCATTTCTGCTGACCCGTGTCCCCGGGTGCCTGCGTCCCCACACCCGTGGTATTCCCGGTGTCCCCATGCCCCTGTCTCCGTGTCCCCATGCCCCACTTGTGGCCGTTCCCAGACTGCAGTGGGCAGGATGAGCAGTTCTCCCTGGTCTTCACCATCGGCTCCTTCATGAACAACTTCATGACCTTCCCCATGGGCGTCGTCTTCGACCGCTTCGGCACCACGGCCGCGCGCCTCATCGCCATGTGAGTGATGGGGACACGGGGGACACGGCTGGGTTGCCGGGAATGGGGGTCATTGGGGTGGGGGAGGGGAAACTCCTGTGATTCCTGTCCCCACATGTCACCGCTGTCCCCTTTAGCTCCCTCTACACTGGCGGAACCCTGCTCGTCGCCTTCTCCACGCCAGGTGAGACCCTGTGGCCAGGGGGTCCCCAGCCCTGGGGGGACCTCTTTGGTAACCCCTGTCCCCACTGACCTCTGTGTCCTCAGTGACCCCTGTGTCCTCACTGACCCCTGTGTCCCCAGAGCTGGCAGTGCTGCTCTTCCCGGCCATGTCCATGCTGTCAGTGGGTGGCATCCTCCTCATCCTCACCAACATGCAGGTGGGTTCCCCCCGCACCCTGACACCCACGTGGTGGCAGGACACCTGTCCAACCCCCACCCTGTGTGGCATGGGAGGGTTCTGATGGCACACAGGGGTCTCTCGGTGCCAGGTGGGGAACCTGTTCGGGAACTACCGCTCCATCATCATCACCCTCTACAACGGGGCCTTCGACTCCTCCTCCGCCATCTTCCTCATCGTCAAGGTGGGTGTGAGGGACGTGGCAGTGGTGGCAGGGGAGGACAGAGCTGGGAACAGCTGGGCCACATCTATGGACGTATTGGGGACACAGTGTGGGACACAGCTGAGTCACTGCTGGGGCCACATATGGGGACACACCTGAGGCCTGAACAGGTGGCCGCTGGCAGCCTGTCCCTGTCCCTGACTCCGTCCTTGTCCCCAGCTGCTGTACGAGCAGGGGCTGTCCCTGCGGGCCATGTTCCTGTTCCTGGCAGCCTGCAGTGCCTGGCACCTCCTGCGCACCCTCTTCCTGATGCCACGCAGCCGCATCCCCTACCCGCTGCCCCCCAACTACGACTACGGGTACGGGGGTGCCTGTGCCCCGCCTCTGGGGACTCTGGGGAGAAGGGGATGGGTCCCACCCGGGGCTGGGTGCCCCCCTCTGTGGGTGGCAGAGGGTCCTGTCCCCTGGGCAGGTCCAGCCCTGGCAGGTGGACACAGGGTGACACAGGCGCTGCCGCAGTCTGCAGTGCTGGGGCCGTTCCCGCTCCTACCGAGCCCACAAGGACAAGCAAACGCCGGGAGAGGCCGGACCCGAGGAGACACCCCTGGAACCCCCCATAGCTCGAGGTGCCCGAGTGGGGATCTGCTCGCTGGGGTGGGGCTGATATTTGGGGAGTGGCTTGAGCGGGTGGGCGTGACCACAGCTGTCTGGGGGCGGTGCTATGTAAATAAGGGGTGTGACTGTGGGCGTGGCTGTGGATGGCCTGGTTGGAGGGCACAATGCATATGCAAATAAATGGGTGTGGCCTTCTGGTGGGTGGGCGTGGCTGTTTATAGGCGCCGCTGGAGGACAGCAAGGATATGCAGATGAGGGAGTACTGCGTGTGGGCGTGGTCAAAGGGTGGCCACGGTGACATACCTGAATGGGCAGGGTCGGACCGGTGGCTGTGAGGCCCCAGTGGGTGGCAGGGACAAGGTGTGGGTGTGGCCTGGGTGGGTGTGTCTGTACGTGCCCCGCCTTGACAATTGCACAGGTGGGGACGTCCCTGGGACGCCATTCCGGGCCTGCGCCTGCTCGTGGCTCTTCGCCTGGCACGTAGCCTGGCTCTCGGTGATGCAGCTGC